AGGCTCTCGAGACCTCTGTTACCTCAGAGGCAACATGGAGATGCCCTCGCCCTCCTCAGAGGCGTTTCGGGGTTCGGGGGGGTGCGTCGTAGGGTCTCTGGTGTGCATGGGCCCATCGCCACACGCTGCCGGGGCCAGGCTCTGCCTGTGGAGTGAGAGGCCACCTGCCGCCCAGGACCTGCTGACCACCAGCACCAGGCCATTTCCGTGGACGAGCGGGCTTCTGCGTGGAAGGCCAGGCCTTCGCCCCCTCATTACCTGGTGCGTGTGTCAGAATCGAATCACACTGAGCATTCAGGGACCTAAAATTCAATCACTGGTCATAATCTTTATTCAAACGTTTCCTCCTTGCCTTGGCAAATTTAATTTTTCCTCCGCCTAATGAAGCTCCCTGGAAAAATCTGATCATTACTTCATTCTACTCAGAACAATTAAGCCATGACGGACGAGGCACGGACAGGACGCAGGTTCCATGGGACGGCCTCGGGGGAGCAGATGGGGAGAGGGCGGGGTGCCGCAGTCGGCTGTGGGCACCCGTGGACCGGGGGTGACAGAACGCCAGGTGTCCTGCATTTTCTCAGAAACGAAGACCACTTTAGCTCAGTCACGACCTCCTGTGTGCTCTTCTCAGAGATCAAGGGGAAGACGATTTATCGGATACACTCTATAAAGAATTTATCCTTACGAAGCAGATCGCTTCGCATCGGCATCACTTACAGTTTGGGGGGACGGTCTGAGCCCCCGGCCCAGGTGGGGTCTGGGTGCGTCGTGCACTTCTGCCCCTTCGCGTGCGCCTCTTGGACGCGCCATGGACGTGCCAGGCCAGGCCGGCCCCAAGCTCTGGTGGCACTGCGCACCCGCGATGGAGCTGCGTGACGCGTGCACCCGCCTCCCCAGCACTGCACTCCCACCCGCCTGCCCGCAGCACACGGTCCAGGGCGGGCGTCCACTCCGGCCGCGGCAGGCAGGTCTCCCTGCAGGCTCAGGCCCCGCCGCCTCCAAAAGCACCGCCCGGAGAGCAGGACTCCCGGGCCATCCAGAGGCGCCTGTCTGTCCCCCACACAGACACGCACACGCGCGCGCATGCGCACGCACACGCCTGTACGCAGACTTTGGGGAGGACTGTAAAAGAAATAGAGGCGCCATGGGTCATGGACAGAAGAGAGAGCTGTGTATGTGTGTGCGTGCACGTGTGTATGTGAGCGTGTGTGCGTGCACATGTGTGCACACGTGCGTGTGCGCGTGCGTGCGTGTGCGCGTGTCCGTGTGCATATGTGTGCACGTGTGCATGTGTGTGTGTGCGCGCTGCGCGTGCGTGTGTGTGCACGTGTGCGCGCGTGCATGCGCGTGTGCATGCGCGTGTGTGCACGCGTGCCTTCATGTTTTCACATCTCCGTGATTCCTTGAATGGTTTGCTTTGGGAAATGCCCCCGGTGCGGTTCAGAACCGGCCTCCTTGTTTTTGCTGGGTTGTGGTCTTGCCTTCTAACTCACGCTCTGTCAGATTCGGCTATTTGTGCTGGAAGGAGCCGGCAAGGGGCGAGAGGGGAACCAGCAGGGAGCGCAAAGAACCCGATCTGTTTCTTAAAACATATAAAAATGTCATTCCCCCGCCAGGAAATGACTGCATGCCAGCGGCAGCTCACCATGATTCAGGCCACGAGTGGCATGACAGCAGCTCGGGGCTGCGCTAGATGAACCACGACGGGTGCGGGGCAGGAAGCCCGGGGGACGGTCAGCCTCCTTCCTGGAACAGGCCTGGGGGCTGGCGCAGGGGCTGGGGGCTGGGGACAGGGGGCTAGAGGAACGTTTCACCAATGTGCTCTCTGTTCCATGCATTTTAGATGGTTCATAAAACGTCCCGATTTTACAACAGCTACAGAGTACATGATGTTTTCTCCACTTTGTGGAAGGAACTAAGGTTTTGAGAGGCGAGGTCATTTTCTCCAAAGTGTCCCTAATTCTTGAGTTTCCTCTTACAGCGAATGGCGCGACTGTCCACCCCACAGCTCGAGCCAGAAACCTGGGTCCATCTCAGACGCCCCACTTCCCTTAGCCCACCTTCTCCGCCCGCGGAACAGTGAATGAGCCAGCCCCCCGACCCCGGAGGTGACTCCGAGAACCGGCACCCTGCGTCTCCTCCATTCACCACCAACGTGCGCTCCGCCTGGATTTCTACGTCGCATCCCCACAGCATGGGGCCTGCCAGCTCTCCCCAGTCCACCCGCGGGCTCTCCCGGCTGCCCGCTCGGACACCTGCTGCTCCCTTTTCGGGGAGACCCCGCTGACCGCATCCTCGGCCAGCACCTCAGTGGCTCTCTCTCCAGAAGTCACCGCAGCGCTCGGCACGAGCTGGAATTTTCCGTGCGCTCACCGTCAAGCTGAAATCTCTTTTCCTGGAATCTAAAAGAATTTCAGGTTTATGAAACCGGGATGGTTTTGAGCCAGACATAAATCCTTAGCAACTAAGAACATTTCTGCTTTAAAAAAAAAATTGATTTTATTTCGCCTGAAACTTGGAAGACACACACAAAGTGATCCATTCACGAGAGTTAAAGCACATTTCAGATCTGTTTTAACTTTCACCTGATCATCCCCAAACTATGCCAAATATTTTTCGTAACACATTTTCTGAGCCGCGACCTGGAGCGGAGTGTGAGCCTGCGGCGGGGCGTGGGCTGGCTGAGCTACGGCACGAGGCCTGCATCACATCTGGTTTTCTTCGCCACGCTCCGTGTCCTTCAGGCGCCTGCACGTAGAAGTCAGCCGTTGCTGAGGAAGGGGCAAGCGCGGTCCCTCCCCGGGCGCCGTGGCTAGTACGGCACGAAGCAGGACGTCAGCCCGCATTTTCTGGAAGGACGCGAGGCCTGGGGAGCTCATAGTGAGCAGAAACCGCTGAGCGTCTCACGACTGTTCTGTCGTGACGCCTGGGTGGCTCTGGCCCGCCCTGCCCTCCGTCCCATGTGTCACGGCTCCTCCGTCCCTCCACATTTGGGGAGCCTCCGCCACCAGCTGGCCTCGGCCCGGTGCGCGGCCTCCCGGCTTGCTGTCTGTCTCCCCCGTCAGGCCCGTCGGACAGATGCCGTTACCTGTTTCCTTCACCCATTTCTCCCACCCCCACCCACCTCCCTCCTCTGCAACCAGCAGTCTGTTCCCTGTACCTGAGGTGGGGGCTTTGTTTGTTTAGATTCCACATTACAAGACAGCATATGGCATTTGTCTCTGATTTATTTCACTCAGCATAATACCCTCGAGGTCCATCCATGTCGTCACTAATGGTAAAATTTCATTCTTTTTTATGGCCGAATCATATTCCAGTGTGCGTATGTGTGTGTGTATAATATGTCGCATATGCCATGGTATATATAATGTCGCATGTCATGTGTATATATGTCATGTGTGTATGTGTCACGTGTCATGTGTATGTCACGTGTGTCGTGTGTATGTGATGTCGCGTGTGTCACGTGTATGTATATGTAGCATGTCGTGTGTCATGTGTGTCGTGTGTCGTGTGTGTCGTGTGTATGTGTGGTGTGTCACGTGTACCATGTGTGTATAATGTCGCACGTGCCATGTGTGTGATGTGTCGCATGCGTCGTGTGTGATGTCACGTGTGTCATGTGTCTGTGTAATGTCATGTGTGCCATGTGTATGTGTATGTCACATGTCGTGTGTATGTCGTGTGTGTCATGTGTATGTGTGTCCCGTGTGTCATGTGTATGTGTGATGTCACGTGTGTCGGATCCACCACGTATAATACCCTCGAGGTCCATCCATGTCGTCACTAATAGTAAAATTTCATTCTTTTTTATGGCCAAATCATATTCCAGTATGCGTATATGTGTGTGTATAATATGTCGCATATGTCATGTGTATACATAATGTCACATATGTCATGTGTATATATAATGCCGTGTGTGTCATGTGTATGTATATGTCGCATATGCCATGGCATATATAATGTCACATATGTCGTGTGTGTATATGTCGTGTGCATGTATAATGTGTTGCGTGTCGTGTGTATGTCACGCGTGTCATGTGTATGTATGTCACGTGTGTCAGGTGTATAGTGTCATATATGTCATGTGCGTGTGTCACATGTGTCATGTGTATGTGTGTCGTGTGTGTGTGATGTCACGTGTCATGTGTATGTGTGATGTCACGTGTGCCATATCCACCGCGCTTCTTCATCCCTGCCCCCATCCGTGGGCACCGAGGCGTTTCCACGCCGTAGCTGTCGTGAATAACGCCGTGGTGCACGTGTCTTTTCCAGCTGGCGTTTTCGTTTCCTCCCGGTAAATACCCAGAAGTGGGGCCGCTGGTAATTCCAGTTTCAATTTTTTGAGGAAATTCCATACTGTTTTCCACAGCGGCTGCACAAATTTACATC